GCACCAACAATGATCCCCCTAACCCCACAAACAAACCGTAATCCCATATTATTGTGAGTAATTATTTAAGATATACGAGGTAGTAGGTATTCAAGGTATATCAAGAAACAATTTAAATATGTCAGATCATCGTAATACAGCTTATGGCCTATATTTTAAAAATGATTTCTGGAAAACAGTTAAAAGTGGATGAATGATAGTGACAAGACATCATATTAGCTATACACAATAAACATGACTAATGTAGGTAGGTATATAGAATATATTTGGGAATAAATTCATCTTTTTTATCGATTGTTTAAAATAGGAACCGGAGTTGACAAAAATAAAATAAAATGTGGAAAACTATTATGTACAATTACAAAAAACTTAACGCTATATCCCCAGTACATAAAGTTGGTAGATACGTATAAGTGAATAAATTAACTTTAGCATAATATATATTTTAAAAGAGTGTTGGTATTATTATGTAAAACAAAAATAGTGTCAAATGTCAGGCAATGGCTACGCTTCCGAGACTTATTTCTAATAAGAAAAAAAGAAAAAGTAGTGTTTATTTATATTATACCTTATAATCAGATAAATTAGTACCAACACCACCAATACAGTTTAAACTAAAAGTACCAATTTAAGGATAGAGTTTTGTTCTTATTGATTTTTCTTTCATACACGGTTATCTTATGATAAATTATATAAAATGGTTTTGAAGATGAATTAAAGATTTATATGACTTTAATTCAAAACCAATGTTTGAACAAGGATTGTAAAGGAAAAGTAACTGTATTTATCTCATACGTATGTATATAATATGTACATATTTTATTATTTGAGTAATAAATAAAATAACCACAAATAACTATAATAAGTGACATCTAAAATGTACCTACAACAAAATATAAGTACTTACATTTTTTTTTAAAAAGATTTTACCATAAAGTACATACTGATAAAATAATTAGATATAATATAGCTACAAAATAATATTTATTTTTGAAGCTAAACTAAACATTGATAAAAATAAAGTTTTTTCTTTTTTATTAGGTATCGCCTTTTATATTTTATGCCGATATCAAATTATTTAGTCAAAACGGATTTTTACTATATCTATGAGTACGGTTTTGATACATTTGCAATTATATTATCTGTGCCTTCTCATATTATAATGTTAAAATCTGATGAAACAATATACATATTTATAATATTAATCATTTAAGTAGGTATACAATGTTTATTGACTGTTTGTCTGGTTATTAAAATGTTAAAATGTGGTATATATAATTTATTATATAAACTATTAAAACATGTCTATCTTAAATACTAGATATCTCTGTATATATATATAAAATAAGATTTCCTGACTGACTAATCAACGTAGGCCTATAGCCAAAACTATGATAGCTGGACTTGAAATTATCATACAAATTATTCATACCAAAATGTAAGAGACCATTAAGAAAATATTTTTAAAAATTCGGATTTTAAAGATGGGCTCTCGCAGGGATTATTTTTCGCCAAACAGAAATCAAATATTTATTTGTTTATATACATAATATATCTACGGTTTCTTTTGGTTGTTTGGTGAGGTAAATAAAATAATTGTAATGTATATATAAATGTTTCTTTCTATGTTCTCAATAGACTTAAAAAATACTAGACTGTTTTCAATAGAAGTTATATCAATCGATTCATTGAGACTCGGGACGGATTCGTAGCTTAGTTTTCAACCCATATACAAAGCTACAGAGTAGCTAGCATATGAGTTTAGTTTTGGCTTACTAAAATCGAACATTTTTTTTTGTTTATTTGAATAGTTGCCATTGATTATACAGATAATAAATTAGTTATTATGATTGGATATAAATGTGTGTATTGTATTGTATTTGGTCCATTACGCTAACAAAGCTATTCTATGTAAAATTGAATAATAGCTATTATATAAAAGAGACAACGTGAATGGTTTAGGTTTATATTATATTAAAAAAATACTCTATCGATTTTAACAAAAAACAATCAAGAATATGTTAACAAAAGTAAATGGGAACCGAACAATTTGAAAATAGCCTTTTTGTAGAGTTTTTTTTATTTATAATATAAAGGAAAACAAATGTTTAAATTGGTTAAATTTTAAATGAATGATAGCAATGTTTTCAAAAAAACTCAAATTATAAAATTGCACAGTTTTCACACTGTTTAATATAATTAATTATGTTGCCAATAGCAACCATTTATTAACAACAATTTCAATCCTCAAAATTCATGTTTGAGCACCTTCCCGGTTGGGCCGGTGTTTGAATACTTACACACCGAAAGAAATATAATATATATTATATAAATATAATATTACGGAGTTTATTTTATTATCACAATTATTTATGATTTGATGTGTTGAAAATTGTATAATATTGTAATATTAAATTTTTTATGATCTCATTTTATATTATAATACTCAATGTTATAGTTATTATAATAAAAATTATTTCCAGTGCTTGAAATGTGAGACGAATACAGTCACTTTAACTTAATCGTGACTTCATTAATTTAGTAACTAAAGGAATGATACTTAAACTTGCAAACTTAGTTTCTTTTAAAATTGGCCCATATTTTAAAATATTTATACTGCTAGTTTTAGTCAAACACTGAACTATATCTAATAATTGCAACCAAAATATAATGAGTAGGAAAAATGTAACGGTCGTATTATAGGTGATTTCGAGCAAAACTATATTATAAACTATTGTTTTAAACATATGTTTTAATAATAGTTTATGTGCGTAGACGATTTTATGCATTCATTCATTCATTCTGTCCTAGAACAAATAAATATGTTTTCATCAAATATAATAATTGTTCTTCCTAATAATAACACTTGGAAAGATATTTACCATTGTAATAACACCGTAATAACTTGTACAAATGTTTTGAACTAATTATTCAACTAAATACATCATGCGTGCAAAATATGAATATAAGTCATCATTCAAAATATTATGCTCTGATATATAAGTCGATGTCATTCGTATATTTAAAAATGCATATCGTGTGTGCTTAAGTAACTTAACGAATTTGTTAACGTATAGGTACGTATGTTGTTATTTTTAAATTGTAAAATCATTCATAATGTTTTAGAAGTTGTAATAACTGTGTCCAAGTTTAGACAAAACTTGTTTAATATAAGCAACACTTTTTTTTTTTTAATCTGAGTATCAAACATATTTTGTTATTCAGTTGTGTACCTACCTACTATTATTATTATTTGTTTGTACACTATGTAAATAATAATTACTAAACCTGCAGTTGTAGTACCTATATTAAAATGAATAACATATATTAATAATAAATAAAGTTAAAAATAAATATAATTATAATATTATGTCTCTTACATTTTTACATCGTAATGATATTGGATTAATATATTAAATAGCTAAGTCAACATATTTTATTATAATAGGTAAATTTTATTTGTTTATTTGCTTCTTCGAATATTTTATGGCATATTTAAAATTTTTAAAGTGTTCTTCCTGTGTTTCGTGTAACTATATTGCATCTAACTATATTTGAAAACGAAGAATTAAGATTAATACCATTTGAATACTTATTTTCGTTTATGAAAATATTAATTATGTTTCAGTAGTGTTACTGCTGAGTGACTTCTCTCATAACGTCACCACGTCTTGTACATATATATTTATTTTCTTCCCAAATATGCTTATTGTAAATACCATCATTACAGATTTTATATTATATTCCAATAAATATTAAAAAAAAATTTTCAGTCAATATATAATGATAGATTAAAATCATTTTTAAAAACATAAATAGATTGAGCAGATCAAAGGTTTTTAAGGGGGGGGGGGGAAAGCTGTTGATGTTTAATAGAAGAATCACTTCAATGATTTTGTGTATGCATATAATATGTAGGTATTTTGGTATGGTATATGTAGGCATAATTAGCTAAACTTAAAATAACACTGTGTGTGTTTAACTTTCATTATACATCTGAACATAATATTTTGTAATAAATCAACGTTTTATTATTTTTCATTAATTACCTATTCAAGTTTTGACCGACACTTCAATAAACCATAGTTTTCTTTTTTTTGTTAAATATTTGATTAATATTACTTTTGGGGGGGTTTTGCTTTTTAAAACTTAAAAAAATTATACTATTCAAAAGCTGAAAAAGTTTAATGCCCAGTGATTCGAACGCAAAAAACATACTGAACTTATATTGATTAACTGTTCACAAACCATTTTCGTAGGTAGTACAAATTCTGCAGAGATATTCAATTTCAGATGCGGTTCCAAATAAAGGACATGGTACTGAAGGATCGATTGTCGTTTGTGGTAAACCCGAAACCGTCAAACATTTTATTCAGCCTGATTACTATTTGTGGCGACATTCTCTGTACTACAGTTATATACGATATTGTATATGCGTTAATGAAACTTCAACCGAAAGTCCAACTATGATGCTTGTCAATTAGGGTTTTAGGACTTGACACTTAAATATTGATTTCTTTTTCCGTATATAAAGTCCACATTAATAAGTTGTTGTAGCTTAAGTCTTAATCTAAAGCCCTAATCATTATAAACACTGCTGAGAGTTTATTAGTATTTATATAAATGTATATGACGTATACTTTTTGAGTCCACTCATCATAATAATATTATGTAGAGTAACTTTGCTGATTATTGCCGAATTATATATGTGTATGAATATGTATTTAAAATACTATAATATAATTATAATAAAATATAATATAATTATATTATCTACAGGTAGGTAGTAGTATAAATTGTTGAGTATTAATAATTGATGGTTTTAGTATTATTCCATAACAGTAATAATTAATTTTGATAGCGTATTTTAAGTTAGATTAATAAAACAATTTGTGTCTACAATTAAATGGAATAAAAAAATATATTCACTTTAGTAGCGAATTCAATCAAAATTCTAAAATAATTGTGAATAAATTATAAATTTATTTTTTAGAATTGTAATGGCACAAGTTTTCAAGCTATTCTGTTTTTCAATTTCTGTACTACTTGTAAGTATTGTTTAGTATTTACTTTTTACTTATTAGATTAATTTATAACCAAATATACAAAATTAATGTAATGTTTGTATACTTGTATCTAGTTTTTACAGTTGGCAGATGCAGCTTCCTCTAAAGAATCTCCTAGTACAGGTGGGGAGAATTATTATTTAGTATTTAAATAGCATACATAAATATTATTATTTTATGATGTTTTCTTGAAGTTTTTTTTATCTAAAACAAACATTTAGAAATAGCAAAATGTACTTAAATTACTTTTGAAAACGTTGTACCTAGGTAATAACATTACTAATGGTTTTAAAAAATTTATATTCAACAATTGAGTATTGTAAAATCACAGGCCAAACTATTATTACAACTAGTGAAATCCGACCTATTGTCCGTTAATAAGAATCCGATGTAATAGGGTTTCGCGGAAAATGGCCTTAGTACTCTCATCCACAATATATAGGTACCTATCGATAATCATTATACTATATTATGTCCAGGGTATACATCCATATAAGTGCGTAATTCACATTTCAAACACTGCGAATTTGCCCGATGAATATGTGATATGTGCGATCGACATTTGTTCATATGTTTGATGTAGGACGATTGGATTAAATATTTTCTATAGCAGCAAAAGTCAATATTTGTTTCCGATGTTACTGAATTGATGCGAAACAACGCAGGAAAATTTAATTTCCCCATTTCGTAAATGCGGCCGTGATATATCCTGTAAATGACGTGTAATCTTATACTGGGTCGAATATTGCTCCACGAAAAGGTCCAGAACTACTCAGTTTAGTGGACTAGATAAACTGTATTTTATGTTTTTTGTATTTAAAAAAAAAAAGATAATATTTTTATAATTAATTATATCATAGAGTATATCATACTAGCTTCGTTTCCAACAAGTTTGTCCGTACTCACTTTTTTCGATTCGCTCTATAATGCAAGTCATTGAGGTAGTCACAATTTAAAGAAGTAAGACTTTAACCTGTAGTTTAATGAAATTAAAAATAAGAGAAAACCGACTACTGCGGAGTCTATAATATTTATTAGTAATTCCTTTAGGCTCCACAAAAAAATTATGAGACCTTCTATGAGACTTTGATTAAGGATAATAGGAAATATAAATATAATATACTGATTTTTTTTTATGCCAGCAATTACTGTAATAGTTATTTACATTTTATCATAATTTACAGTAAAATTTAAACACATTTTTTTTTTTTTTATATTAATTGAAAACTATAGAAAGGAATACGTGGGATGCGTCTAAGGTATTGGAAATTAGTAATTACTAATAATTACAGTTTTGATAAGTACTATTTTCCCAAGTACATGTACTACTTGTTTGTACTACTGTAGGTACTATTCTTTTTTTGAAAAAAACATTATGAGTCTTCAATCTACTGTAAATTTCTATTGGGAACTGCAGAAATATTAAATAATTAAAAATGTAAAATATTCAAATATGATTTTGAACTACCAAATTAGACATTGAAAGTATTATGGCAGTTCAATTTACTTTTTTTTTATTTTAAGTTATCGAGTGTTATGCTTAAAGTAGTATATTTGAGTATAATAATATATACTCAATGACAATATTTTGCAATGAATCGATTAAATATAATTGTATACTTCTACTTTACATTGTATTATGTTAAATTATCTAGTCAAGCGAGTAATTGTGTGATACATAATTATATTTTTAAAGGCAAGGAGTCAAACGACCAAGATGGAGAAGAACAAAAACCAACTTTTTTAAAAACAATTGATAAAGTCAAAGATAGTAGGCCTGTAAAAATAGCAAAAGAGATATCAAGTGCTGCAGGAGAACATTTGGGTAAATTTGGGAAGGACTTCGCATCTGCGCTAAAAGTTGAAGAAGAAAAGCAAAAAAATGTGGATGGTAAAAACCAAGAGTGGACGTTAAATATCTAATATTTGTTTTTATAGTGCCTAACTTTACGTTTTAGCTTATTCTCATGATTCTATATACAATATAAATATGTCAATAGCGAAAATTTATAATTAATTTTATAAAACATGCTATTAAAAAATGTTTAATTGTAATGCCTTGAGAAAATAAGCTACTCGTATATAGGTACCTATATCATATTATTATTGTATCTAATATTATTATGTTATGTAAACTAGATGAAAATTCGTTCGTTCCAAAAGTCATTCAAAATAATGTAGTTCTACCTGCAAAGGTACTTGCCCAAACAAGTATCAATGCTCTCCGAGAACCTGTAGGAAACATATTATCTAGTGTCCAAAACGAATTTACTAATGAATTAGCTAAGTCAGAAAGTGAGTACCTATATACCTTATATAACATATATAATTATATAAAAGTTTTCATTCAAATTGCCGTCATAATAATTTTTTTACACAGGCTTAGGGGAAAGTAATTGGTTCTGACGTAATCTTCATCACTTTCAAAATGTTTAAATCACCCGAGAGCTAGGAATATAATATTCATAAAAATACAAAACACATCATTGTTTTTAATTTATCGACCATATTGTTAAAATACTAAATTGTGGTAAAATATTTCAGACATTGATAAAATTTACTTTTCATCAAAATATATTTTCACTAAAAATGTAAATTCAAAATTCATAATCCGAATCATATTAAGTATATTTAACAATATTTCAGAGGATGAAGATTATGTTCCGATAATTGGAACTTTTACACAAAGAGCAAATAAACCGGTTGCTTTATTGAAAGCCTCGAAAAATATTGTAGGAAAAACATTCGGTAGCATATTTGGAAAAGCGTCATCGCTTTGGAGTTCGACTAGTTCGGGTAAAAAAAATAAAGGTATTAAATGAAAATAATTTATAATATAATCAATGTAAAGCATCATAAGATCGTAATATATGCAAATTAAATATCTGAAAAGCATAAATTGAATTCATTGAGTCAGTGGTGGATACGAGGGGGGGGGAGCGAAGGGGCGTTTGCCCCCCCCCTTGGGCTGCCTTTTTAACGTTATTTTCTATTATAATATTTGGCTAAACAAAAAGACAATTTAATTTTTGAAAATTCGCCCCCCCCCTTGGGTGACTTCTGGATCCGCTACTGCACTGAGTTCACTCAAAAACATTGAATTGTTATGTGTATATATATTGTATATATTTATACAGCATATTACTTAAAAAATTAAGTAGGAATAATAAAACTAGGATTGCTAATATAATTTAATAAATGAACGAACAACTAGCATTTAATATGAACATAATATTTTATCAAACTACATATATATTTATATACATATATAAACTACCTATGAATGAAACGTCAGAGGAAAATACTATACTCACCATTGGTTTTCAATAAAGTTATTTGCTTTTTGAATAGGTATTCTAAAATATCTGATTTGCTTTATTCAGATAAGACAATATGTACTTGCTATTCTTTCTGAATCATTTATTTTGTTTATACATAGCAATGCATTTAATTATATTTTAAAGAAATTTGTATTTATTTTTTTTTATGTATGGCCAAAACACCAGCTGAGAAACCTGAAAAAGAAGACTAATGAAGATACAAAAATAAGTGAATTAGTGTTATTCTAAATACAATAAATTTATAATCATGGTTTGAACATGTTAATGAATAGTTTAACTCATAACTATAAAAATATTTAGAAATTATAGTACTTATTACATTGGATTTAAAAAATAACAAAAACAGATAATATATTTATTACATTAATTATTATATTATATAAATTATTACTAAGAATTTGTAATTCCAGTTTTTCTATATAATATAATTTAAAATACTCAATCCGATTTCTTTTTATTTTACAATGAACAAGATTTATATTAAGTATAGGTAATCCAATTAAATGTTTATTTTATTATAACCATTAAATAATCATACAATTATCTATGCCAATTATCTTGATATTATTTATACCAGAAAATAATCGTTTAATCATGCTATACATTTTTAGAAATCCATGAAAAATGTTGATCACTTTTATATGACAAAAAAAATTTAGTATTGTTAAAACCAAATACAGCTCTATCACTGCAATCTGATTCTAAAATAATGTTCCCTTCGAATATATTTTAATTATATTACACATGATACAATGTATCATCATCCAATGACTTATCTTCAATAATGTTATGTAAATATTTATTCCATCATTGAGAGAAACGTAACTTTCAAGACCTGTAGTTACCACAAGGTTTTCTATAACTACTGAAAAAAATAGAAAAGTGACTAGGTACACAAATCGAAACATATAATGATAAACACCCTAACCTACAATGATTTTGATTTTTGTTGAAAAAAAGTGGACAAGTGGGTACCGCTCTGCTTTAGGTCATAGATGAGTGGGTCATTGTAAATTGTAATGGATGTGTTGAATTTGAATTCAATGATAGGTATATAAATATATGCTAAAAACGATTCTTAGCGCAGATGGCCTGTCAGTCAATATCAAGTACCTATCAAATATTACATATTTCAATGATGTGTTTTTTGATATTGCTATAAAAATAACTTATTTTACTATTAGTAGGTATAGGTACCTATAAAGGTAGGATGATTTACTTTTGATCGAAAACATTGAATTTCTTATATTAATCTTAATGAATTTAAACTATAAAATATTTTTAAAATTATAGTTCATATATATTAAAATGTATAATATAGGTACGTAAAAGTTTAAGTTCCGACCAATAGTATTTTTGAATTAAAAATATTCAACATCGTTATTCTTCAACTAAATGTATTGTGCCAATTATTTTAAAATTAATATTACCTATATGTTATTATAGAATCTTCCATTATAATTGTAGGTATTTAATAAGTTTAACTTATTGCTACAAAAATATCAGTGAACATGTTTTATATAACGTCATATGTAAGTTATTCATTCCTAAGGTATAATCGACGCATTCAAATTTCAAAAAAATGTATGATTAAAAAATTAAAAAATATTTATTACTTTTAGGGTTCTATCAATAACTATTTGGGTACACTAGTTAAACGTTTTCATAATTTTTAACAATAAATAATATCAGCAAGTGTTAGAAAAATAGAATATATTTAAAAAAAAAGTTTATAACTATCGAGATCTTATACATTTAATTTTAATTTTAAATAATAAATACAATATGATAAGTATATACATTTATATTAAAATCGTTTTGCATAATAACTACTTAATAATTATTGCACGTGATAAGAGAACACAAAATATATAAATATAGGTTACATAAATAAGAAGTCATCCGTTAGTGACACTTAAAGCTTTAAGTACAAAGATTAAAAAAAAATTAATACAAAATATCAAATATTTTTCTTTAGCATTTGCAACGAAGATTTACGGGGTAAGAAAGGTAATTAATATTGGTAATTTATGAATGAATTGTTGTGGTTTTTGTAGTCCATAGAGAAAACCCGTTTATAAAAAAGTGCAGGCTTATACTCAATTGATTTAATGTTAAGGTCATTGTAGAGGGGTAAGTTAAAATAAAGTGTGGAGTGTTTGTTATTTTACAAAGTATTATGTTTTGAAATACTTGAATTTTATTTACGTTTATTTTTTAGCCAAACCCTATAGCTGTATCCCATGCACCCATACTGGTTTTAAGAGTAGCTTATAGATAAGCAGTTTAGTTTTAAGGCTTGTAAATTTATTTTTGTCAGAAATATTATTAATGCACGAGAGCGACCGTTAAGGGTTAATCTTTTTGACTTACCTAATATGTTTATTCCATGTTAAACTCTTATCAAGGTAAAGACTTAAATACTTAACCGAGTCAAGTGAAGGAATTATTTAATGTCATATTTTGGGAGAATGCAACATATAATAAATTGAAGGTCGTATGGGAAAATTTAATATGGTTTTATTTGATTACTGTGGTACTTCTAGTACCATTCATTTAATTGATTTAAATACGATTGTAAATAATTATCAGAGATGATTAAATTGAATCATTACGTATTGATAATAGATTTTTTCATAGTCTTAGTTGGAATAAATGTATTTTGTGATGTGTAGGTAGTACGTACGGATCGGAAGCATAAATGTTAAACGGTATAGTTAAAATAATACGCCTTTGAAGCACTCCAGTATATTAATTAAAGCTATATCTGAGGTTGATGATCCTAACGTATTAGAAAGTACCGGTCTATATGTAACAATTTAATTTAGAGGAAAAGCGTAGGTAGAATTAGATATGTTCGACGGTTGAACGGAAGGTATAATCTGTTAAAAGCCCGAGAGATGTCAGATGCTTAGAAAGATACCGGTTCAATACAATTTATTAACTAGTGAGGTAAATAAAGCATCAACAACTCTGTAGAACTTGATACATTGTGCTATGTTTGGCTCTGTTGTATGACATTTTGTAGTTTGCGAGAAGTTACTAGTATGTAGGGAAGATTGACCGAAAGTTGAGCGAACATAAGTTTTAGATATGAACTGTAAGATGATTGGAGTGAGTGACATTTAAAAGGTGACGGTGTTGAACATTACCAGAATCAGAGTTAACAGGTAAATTATAATTATTTACATTAGGTTTCTTATGGTTATTAACATCTTTATATATTGAGCATCACCAGCTGTACTTAACAGCAGCTAGTCGCTAGAACAGAGTGAAAATCTCAGAGTGAATTTGGGTAGTTGTGGACGAGTAGTGATCGAGTAGTAATTAGCCAAAATACGATTTATTATGGCCGGACTTTGACAGTTGGAAGACTGACTGATGATTTTAGGTCTATAAGGTTCCTCTATTTTGATTTTAGTATGTCACAAAGACTCGTGTGGCTTCAGGCCGACGAAGTAGGTTTTTATTGAATCAGTAGATGACTTTCGTAACTCGTTTGACATCAGACGTAGATCGACTTCACTTTATATTATGGCTGTTGGAAATGATAGATGAAGGTTACGAATAACTACACGAGTTGATTTATCCACTTTTAATTGAAAAGTATACAGAATTCAACACGTTATTTCGACTCTATTAGTATTTAATTAACGAGATATGTATAATTCAGTGTTCGAGGTTTGAATTTTCAGATGGTTAGCAGTTGATCAACAATAGAAATCATCGACGCCAATCAGATTAATTAATTCTGTACAATGTATATTATACTACATGTACACAGGGAAGTTTTTCATGCCACATAACAAAGGCACAAACAAAGACACAGGTGGGATGATCTGAATTTTTTTCGGCAATGACTTCATCGAGAGCTTATTTATTAAGTACTTAATAATATTGATTTACATGTATCATTATGGCAATGGATAAATTTGATAAAATATTTAAATCGTTTCTTAAAATTAATTTAACATACTTTCGTTGGAATATAAATAAAAATGTCTAGGTACAGATGTATGATAATATGATTTCAAACAATAACAAATATTATTATGTGTTATTAAAATACAAAGCATCGCACAGTATCTATGCATAGTATTAGAATGTGGTATACAGTAAATTACTAAAAACATTTGTTTTGACATATTTCAAGTTAATAGACCATTTTTAATACCCTTTCAAATACAAAAGAGTATATATTGGTACTATTGGTACTTATCTAAAAATAAATTAAAATAATTGTTACTAAACATTTTGAAATACATATACATTCATCAATGTAAAATAATTCATAATTTATTCTTAGTTATTGAAAAAATACGCCTTTTTGGAATAAAGAATTATTTTCTCTACAAAATTATTAAAAACGTTATTTGTTTACAAACAAATTCATAAAAAATAGGTAGAACTAAATACATAATATAATTCACAGTATGGTCGTACGAAATATAAAATATTATATCCTGTTTTTGGGTAATTTACTTCTTCATTAAAATATTTAAGATTCTAAGACAATATTAAACGGAGGAACTTTAACCGGCATTCTTCGACAGGTAAGCTAATTTAATGATATTATGTTTGAAAAATGACATGGTAGTATTGTGTACTTGTGTTAATAAATAAAAAATAAAATAAATATTGTCTGAATATTACTTTTACTAATAATTTTTTTCTATATTTTTCTATATTTTACTATAAAATATCCTATAAACTAATATTATTTCCTAGAGTATCGTCATTTTGTAACAAAGGCTATATTTATATAATTGAAACAATTTTTTTTTACAATTATATATTTCTGAACGTTTGACAATCCGTTGTTAACAAATTAACATTAAAATAAATAATAATATTACCTATGTCAAATGATACTACAAAAATAATTAAATGTTAGAAAAATATAAGACATTTTATCTGGTGTATTACAATTTTTAATATACATTTTATTGATTTGGATGATGTGCATAGATATTTTTACTGATGAAACTTTGAAAGCTGTAAAAATAACTCCCGATCTAACATAATATTATATATATTAAGTAGGTACAGAAGTATAATTTATTTTTACCATTTCATTATTATTGTTTAGCACTCAGCCTAAAAGTTTTATGGAATACAATGAATCTTAGTTTGAAATTAAATATTTGTTATTTTGTACATTTTATTAAAATATTAACCGCATTCATGTGTA